GGAGCAACAGTACTGTTGACTTCTTCCTCCACTGAACACCAACTAACTATTTAAGTTGATTTGCATACAAAGCAGAGCTTGCAACATGATAGCTATTCATAAAGGGTGTTTTTTTTTTACTTTTCATATAATACAGTAGTCACACAATGAGGCAGTTCATATTTGTCTCAGTGAATCATTAATTTTTGACAGATATCTGTACAAAATACTTGGATAAAAGCCAGCTAAGATTTTCTGTTATCTTGCATGTTTTATGAATCTATTCACGTCTAAATGCAGCACTTTTTTTTGCGATGAGGCATTTGTTTTTATACTAAAATATCTGAATTACTTTGAATAAAGCTGGAAATTATGTCCCTTAAAATAATTAAACAAATAAGGCACCAATGTTTTTGTAAAATATTTACATCTTTAAAGGACATTCGCTAGACTGATTCCCCACTGTTGGTTCAACCCAAAAACTTGTTTGTATTCAAAATTAATTATGACAATGCATATTTATATTGAAACAAAATATGTTAACGGGAATTATATTATATAACAAAGGGCAAATTCACCAGAGTTCAACTATGTTTTAATGATACTTTCTGTCCTTTAATTGAAATGTGCATTGCTAACAGCGGAGCTATCTCAGCCGAGAGGCTGCTTGTTTGTTTACCTAATATAATGATTGGAATGTCATCGACAATTTTAACTGCACTGGACTCACTCTATCTTGTAGATTCTTTCAACGGGTCAGGAAATTATGGAATTGGATCATAGTGGATTTAGTACCCAAGGGCCGACTGTGTATGCTGGTAACCTTGGTAACAATGCTTACATATTGCAAGTGTCACCGATGGGAGTACGTTTGTTAGAAGGAGGTAACTGCAACTGTTGATAAATACTTTATTAGTTAGTAACATCTGTCAGCACAAAGACAAGTTTAATAGTATATGATTTGCATAATACGTATGCACAGTGATTAATTGTCTGTCAGAAAAAACACTAAAAATCAACATGTTCTCTTCATTCCATTTTACATGAGATGTGATTGATTACTGATGCATGTTATTTTATTTTGTGGCTCAAAATGGCCATGTTTATATTTTTGTTGCACCTCAGACCATTTCTTGCATGTTGATTTGTTTATTAGCTCCTGCTTGTGTGAAACACGCAAGGGATGTAATAAGTTTGCTTGTCTGTCATTCTGTGTAAGCATAATCAGAAACCTTTGAACAAATCTTCATCAAATTTGGTACATAGGTACCTTATAGTAATGTGCAGACATGATTAGTTTTAGGACCATGTCTGTGCATATTAAGTAGCTACATGTATTATGTAAATTAATTATATCATTTCAGTGTAAGCAAATCTTAAAACTTTAGAACAGATCTAATTTGCGATATATTGGTGCTGAACACCTGTCGGCTGATGATCTCTTATGCCATTGTTCTTTCAGTGAATCAGTTGCAGCACATTCCACTGGATTTAGGTTCTCCTATAGTACTGTGTTCAGTTTCTGACCCATATGCACTTTTAATGAGTGAAAAAGGAGAACTAGTGCTACTCACATTGAAACCTGATGGTTTTGCTGGGGGACATAGGCTGGCAATAAGCAGACCACAAATACCACAGGTATGTAACATATCACAATTCAGTTTATGTGTCATAATGCATGAAAGCAGGACAAATCATCATATACTGAATCGACCAATCACACAGCATGAGAACATCATTATATACTAAACTGGCCAATCACGCATCATGATACATCATCATATACTGAACTGGCCAATCACGCATCATGATACATCATCATATACTGAACTGGCCTATCACGCATCATGATACATCATCATATACTGAACTGACCAATCACGCATCATGATACATCATCATATACTGAACTGGCCAATCACGCATCATGATACATCATCATACACTGAACTGGCCAATCACGCATCATGATACATCATCATATACTGAACTGGCCAATCACGCATCATGATACATCATCATATACTGAACTGGCCAATCACGCATCATGATATATCATTATATACTGAACTGGCCAGTGTGATTGGCCAATTTGGTATATATTAATGTGTCATGCTGCATAATTGGTCAGTTCACTACATGATAATTTGTTATGCTGCATGATTGACTGAGTGGTTATAATTCAAAATTAGAATGGGGATTAAACATGTAGTTTAATTACTGAAATGAAAGTTTCGTATTCCTTATGTCACACTCGGTAATTGATTAAGTTTGGTCATTCTAAATTTAATTTACTGCATTGCATGTAATGTAGCAAGTGTGAGATACATATGGGACATACAAGGCAAGAAAATCATTTTTATCTGGTATCATTATATTTTATTTCTAGATAGCATTATGGATATGTCCAATTCTGATGTTGTTAATACAGTTGCATTGAGGTTGAGACTATATTCTGTTTACAAACTATAGAATAGTAATACTGTAAACTCATTCACTTTGCTTCCCATGTGATTATGCATGGTCTTTATGCATGTACTATAATTCATGGTTCCCCTACCTTTTTATATGCTACTGATGAATGGCCGTTATCTAAAATGTCTATTTTGAAATATTACCTACTATATCAGATATTGTATTTTGCGTGTAGATATCACGAATACTGACTCTGTGCGCTTATAAAGACACCAGTGGCATGTTTACAACAAGCAGCAAAATGGAAAGTACTAGCGATGAAACAGAAGAAAAGAAAATAACCAAACCTTCTGTGGCTGATATTTCTATGACATCTGAAATAAGGTTGGTATCTCTCATGTGGGGTTATGTTGTACCAATGTATGTCTGTATGTACATGTATGTACACGTGTATACTGGTATGCATTCAAACTTTTGATATGCTTGTATCAAATCTGGTTTCAGTAATAACTAATAACTAATGGTGATTATTGGTTTATATGCACTAATAGAGTGAATGTAGTAACTCTTTATTTGTTTTTTGCTTAGACCATTGTTGATTTGAATCACACACATGAGGACTTTATAGAAACCAGTGTTTTTTTGTTCATTTGCCAACAATTCAACACAGTGACACAAATTGGACATATCTAATGTTTTAAAATTAAATGGTGATATCATATGCAATGAATTAGTCATGTGACAAGAAGGAATATTTGTTTGCTTTAGTAATGTTGACGATGAAGATGAAATGTTATATGGTGAATCAGATGCTTCATTATTTAGCCCTACAAAGAAAGAAGAAAAATCAAGGTAAGTAATATCAGTGATCATTTATTGTCCAGTCAATGATATAATGATTACTAAAA